CTCTCCTGCACTATGACTACAAGAAGACAATGGTAGAACAGGGTTTGGCAAGCTCCAATACTTGTTTTTTGGCTGTTGTTGCCACTGCCTTCTACCTGTTTTGTGGTTAGGGAATTTGAGACTATACTAAAAGGATTAGAGGCGTGGGAGCCAAAACTTCCACTCCCCTTCAAACATAATTGGACTATCTGAATTAATTTGTATCAGCGAGACCCTTACCTTGGAAAATGGGGCAGCAGGAGAGAGAGTTTTCCAGTATCTGTACAGTAGGAGTCTCCCGTTACCATTCTGAGAATTGTGACAAAGCCAAATATGCAATGCATAAAGAGCTGTGCATCCGTTCTCCTAGGCTCCTTTGACAAGATTCAAAGAGAAAAATCCATTAAAAACCCAGCAGTTATCCCACAGCAAGTCTTATTCCTCCCTTCCCCCTTCAAAAACTAAAGCAACCCGCCCCTGCACCAAACCAAAACTCTTACACCACTTCCCTGAATTAGCTTTCACACTCTCCAAAAGCCTTTATAAAATGTTCAGCATTTACTGCATCAACAGCCATTGTTTCTCTAAACTGTGTGCTGTTGCCAACTTGCCATTGAAAATCAGGGATCAGGTGTAAGAACTCGTGAGTTCCATTCTGAGCTCTGCTACTGACTCACTTTATGAATTTGGGCAAGACAATTAAGACCTAAAAGTGGGATTTTTCAAGAAATTTCGGTGTTAGTCCAAATCTGCTCCCATGTTTTGTTTTTTTAATTATCCTGGGTTTAAAGAGGTTGGGTTAATTTCCAGGTGACTTTTGAAATCAATTCTGAAGATTTTAATAGGGTATTTTAAGAAAATGAGATTGTCATGTTCGGGCCGGGAGGGAGGGAATCTCCTGGAATAGCTTCAGGCAGGGTTGGCAATCTTTCTTAAAGGTCCATCTTTTCTGTGTCTTAGTTTCCTCCTTTTTAAAAAGAGGATAGTAATTAGAGCTGGTCAAAATGTTTATGACAGAAACTATTGATTCATGAAAATCAAAACTGTTTGCAGGAAAGGGTTGGTTCCCACAGTCTTCTAAACTGACCATTTTTGGAAAAAAAATTGAAATTGTTGAAGCGTCTTGTAAAAATGAAGTTTCATTTTCTGGTTTGAAAGGATTTTTTAAAAATAATTTCACATGTACAACATCCTCTTCTCTGTAACCATGACAGCAGCTGCTGCTGCATTGTGTAGCTTAAGACCTATGCAGCCTTTCTTAATGAAATAGAAGAATTTAATATTGGGAAGATATTTTTAAAATGTGATGTTTTAAAAATACATTACAAATAAATGAAATGACTTTGTACATATTTATTGCCTTTACTATTCTATTCTTATTTATTATATTTAATGGAGAGATGAAGGAAAAGATGTAACTGAAGAAGACTATGGGCACTTGTGAAAATAGACAATTGTTATTTTAAACACATTGTCAAATAACTTGGCTTTTAATGCTGCTTCTTGTCTCTTCAACTTTTCCACACACCACTCATTATCTGGATGACTATCTGAATATGGAAGTAAAAACAAGAGGCAGAACATTGCAATAGCTAACTTACAGGCTTCTTTTTGTTATTGTTCACTCATGACATTTTTGGACTCTCACTCATATTAACTCATTAACAACCATATATTGTAACCTTAGTACTTGCAAAGAAGGCCATTGAATATAGCTATAGCTAAGAGTACACACCAGATTTTCCTGTCTTTAAATAAAAGCAAAGATAGATGTGAATTAGTTCTAAAGCTTGAGGCAAAGACAGAATGTAATACCACAGAAAAAATAAAGCCATGTCACAAACAGTTGTGCAGAAGTCCAACGTTTAACAGAGCAAAAAGTCAAATAAATAAATAAATGTGCCCACAGAGAAGCGAAAGAGAGAGAAAAAAGAAAAGGCAGAACACGACAAGATAGAGAAAATTACCATCCCATAAGGTTCTAGTAATGAAGCCCAAAGCAAGATGTTGCCGTTCAGAATTTAAGATTATTTCTGTCACTCCTGACATCTTATACTAGCCAATGTGCAATTGTAATGTAGGACTGGCTTTACAAGTGGACAATCAGGGTAGTCACCCTGGACACCAAATTACTTAGCTATTTTTTTGTGTGTGTTTTATTTTTGCTCAGCCACTCACTGGTCATTAAGAACATTTTCCACCCTGAGGCCAAAACATGTAAGGCCAGCGTGATTCCCTGGAACCAATGTTCTAGAAATAGATCCGTATTGTTTATAATGAGTAATCATTTTTCACATTTATCTATTGTATATATTTTTGTTAGTGCTAATATTAATTACATAATAAGAGCTGCACTTTAAAAATTGGGATTGGGGTGCACTGAGCGATCTAGCTCAGAGCTAGTGTTCAGTGCATGTACTGCTGCTGCAACAGCAGGATGGCCAGTAGCTAGGCAGCAAGGAGGCCTCTATCTGCAAGAACGTCTTGGAGCAAAAGGTCTGATTTCACAGAATTCATCACTATTTTCTGTTTGAAAAGCTGAGCCCTGTGATTAAGGCTGCAACATCAGCATTGACGACACACTTCTCAAATGCCAAGTGGCTTCAGTCAGATTACAGGTTGATGGTCCTTTGCAGATATATGGGGCTGTGGAGAATACGGATGTTAAGAGGTGGGTAATTGGCTAATTGTATAGTCGATAGAATTTTTATCAACTACACAATTGGTCGATATGGGAAAGCATACATTCCTAGTTCGCTCCAGGTCCAGGAGCTTCCCCCATTGAGGCTCTGCAATTCAAATGTAGTAGGAGTTGGGCGTCCGGGGTGGGGTAGGTTCCATACTCGGCATGAGCCGGGAATGAGCAAGCCTGTCTCAGTCCTGGCTTGGGCTGGGTCCAGGACCTACTCCCACTGCAGCTCTGCAGTTTAAATGTACTAAGAGCCGGCTTCCAGCTCACGCTGCTCTTAGCACATTCAAACTGCAGATCCGCAGTGGGATAGTCCCCAGAGCAGTTATAAAATGGAGGCCCACAGATAGGGCCTCTCCAGCAGCACCAGCCCCCCTGCACCAGCTCCTGCTTCTCCCCCCTTGCTGCCTCTGATATGGAGGCAGCAAGGGGGAGCAGGGAACGTGAATAGACAACTCAGCTATCTGATAAGCCTAAGCTTATCAGGTAGTCAACTACTCACTTACATCCCTAAAGGAGAAAGATAATTCTGTTTCCTGGCGGATTTCAGTATTTTCAAATTAGTAGTTTAATTCTGTTAAGCCCCAAAATCTCTGTACAACCCCAAAATTTCGTAATTCTCTGCAAAAGGGAAAGCCACAGCTCAGAGACCATGTGCATGGATGGCTGCCTTGAAGCTCCAGTCTCTGAAAATCCTGTTGTAAAACTACCCACCCTCCCCTTCAAGGTAGTTCACCTGACTGACTGACCCCAAGCTGTGGCTCTTGTAAACCCAGGTTTTTCAGCTGGTGAGCTGGCAGGGGGAAAAAAAAGGCAGGTTTCCAAAGCTGTTTTGTTTCTAGAAATTGAACCATTTCTGTGGACTGTTTCAGTTTTGAAAAATTGGCAAATTCCGAAGACAGTCTGTTTGTCATAGGTTTTTTTCCCTTGACCGGCTCTAATGATAGGATCCCCTGACTTTTCCAGAGTTTTTTCCTCTTTCTTTCCTCTGTCAGAAAAATAACTCAGGAAACCCATTCTAGAGAGGCATGTCAATCTTACCCTTTGCAGAGCTGTTTCTGGGTTGGAGCTTGTAACAATATGCTACTTCTGAGGCCTCACTCTGGACAGCTGAGATTATGTTCCTCACTCACTTCATGAATCCATTGGTAATTTTGCCAGAAATCCGGCTGCTCATCTTTTTTTTTCCCCCCAAAATAAGAGTAGGATCTTCCCCCACTCAGCCACATGATGCAACAACTGTTGGGGGAAATAGACTGTTTCACTTGATATGTGGGATTATAAAGGAGTTCTTTGTTAATTTTTAAAGAGCCCATTATTGGTGTAGTGCTATTGAAGGAATGTATAATCTGAGTCTCTAAAGTAAATTAACAGAGACAGTTTTAGTGGAGGCCTGATTTATCAGGCTAGAAACAAATCTGTTTACATCATGATGCCTACCTGTTGGCCACTGGAAGACATTTCTTGAAATGGAAGGTTGGAATTTGTAGCCTAATTATATCAAGCTACAATTCTTTGGAGAGACTAGAAAAATGAAGACAACATTTTTTTTCTCAGCCAGCATTTATTCCTCAGTTTTTAATATTAACTGTCCGTTTATATACCAATTTAGTGTAATCCTCTTAAATTATAAGCAAAATGAGCTCTAATTTCTTTTTTAAATGATGGAATTATTTTTATCTGCTCCAGTTATTTAAAACAGGACATATACATTGATAAGGTCTCAGCTAAGCTATATGCATAAGCATTTAACCAACTTCTGTGGCACTGTGCTCAAGTGGAGTCCTGTGCGTGCAGATACAAAATTTGTATTTGCCTCTCTATTCGAAAAATGAGCCACAGATATCTGCTTTGACAATCACAGATGCCTGCAGATATAAAGTGGATATCCACAAATTTGCAGGATTCTAGATACTAAATGTGTATCCACATCCATATTTGTAAAAATGAGCTGTGGATATCCACATCTGCATCAACAGATGCAGATACCCAGCATATAAAACATATATCCATGGGATTGCAGGGCTCTCCTCATAGCCTTAAGGTTAGCCATGTGCTTCCATGCTATGCTGAATCAGGGGTTAAGTGATGTATTTATAATACTTTGTAAAAACGAGATGGACTTTAGGTTGATATTGTCAGTTCATTTCATGTGCTGTATAATTTATGTTTAAGTGAGAGCTGATTTTTACCATTATGTTTAGAAAGTGTCTTTTTGGTAAATGTGGAGAAACAGTTAAATTACTTTGTTGTTTTTTTAAATATAGAGACTACTGTATTGTGGTATCAAAGCTTTTTGTTAATAGTCTCCTTTGTTTCTCCTTTTCCACAGCTTTCTCTGTTAGAAGAGGCAGGGTTTGGAGGTGTTCTTCTTTATGTTGATCCTTGCGATTTACCAAAGACTAAAAATCTTAGTGATAAGGCGTTCATGGTTTCCCTAAACAATGGAGGAGACCCATCAACACCAGGCTATCCCAGTATTGGTAAGTACCATTTTAGGTGTGTCTGGTTAGTGGCATTTTAAAATGTATTGTAAACTAAGAGACTTACCTGGTGTTGGCCAGGTCCTTCAGAATAGGGGACTGGAGGTGTGGAGGGTGGAGGACTTGGTGCAGAGCCTTGGGGATGTGGGATGGTGCAGGAGGCTGGGGGCAGGAGGGAGTGAGAGAGTGAGGGTTGGGGGCTGAGGAGGTCTCATGGCTGGGGGGGTACCATCCAGCATGGGCATTTTCTCTGCCCTCACTTTCCCCCTCCCAGCCACCAGATGCATCTTCTCTCACCCCAGCCCTCTCCCCCTGGCCATCAGGAACCGTTTTTTCCCCCTCAGTCCCCATCTTCCTTCTTCCTTATCCACTCCACCCCCACCT